CAAATCTGCAATCACAGCTCCGAGGCAATCCCCCTACAGCCTCCGATGAGGGCAACTTACGAATTTCTTTCACTCGCCTCTTAAAACGAAATGATAGTGACTCTAGCATGAATTTCTTAAGGGATTCTTCGAAAGCCAGTTTTTCCACAAGGCTAGATGGAATTCAATAGCATTTTGAAGCCATCCTTCCGCTCTCATATAGTTAAATGTACTTTCTTAAATCACTTTAAGCTGACAGTAATGATACCTAAAATGAACCGAAACCATATCCGATCATAAATGGACGGCATCGAGACTTAAGTAGAAGTTTCAAGATAAAACATCCTTCGGATACAACAACAGTTAAGATTATCATGTTTTCATTACAATTAGTCCTTTAACACTAGGTGAAACAAGATGCTCCAACCATGTGTTTGGAAATTTTTGAATTTCCAAATGGGGTAAAATTGTACAAATCAGTCACCTAAAACAAAGATGGAGAATTAGCTCCCCATGTGTAGAAGCCTCACCGAGGGGAATCATTTTTACGCGAATTATATGAAAGCGAAGCTTAGCTAATGTCAAATATGAGCCTCTATTGATCCATGCAAATATAGTAAAATACTTCAAATGCCGGCCTCTTGAAGGATTATGAAAAGGCAACCTGTTTAAAAGAAGGCGATGATCGCTTCCAGAGTGAAAGTTGAACAAATTGTAAACGATGATTTCATAGACGATGTTTTGGAGGTCACACTAGAATATGCCTTGAATGACCGGAATAAAAACACCGAAGGTGAAACCATTTTAACAATGAATCTACTTGAGCTTTTGGAACGTGGGCCTTGCCACCAAGCCAATGCAAGTCTTCCCTCGGATAAGCCTGCTATCGAGGACAAGGTCGAAAAGGAAAGCCTTCAAACTGAATGTGCAAGCTCATCCCTTGAGATTTTATGCAATAGAAGATCCTCAGAAGGGACATCCGATATATTCTGTGACTCAACCGGCCGGTGTGTTTCCACGTCAGATATGTTGGACTTGATGGATCTTGTCCAAGAAATGAAAGTGGCCAAGTTTCCACAAAAGAGGTCGTATATGGTTTCAATATTTTATCCGTTCATATTTATTTATGAGTGCCTGGAGGCCTTATTCACAGCTTACTGACCGGTCAGTTCCCATCAATCCTTTATCAATAAAAAACCGAATAAAGACCAAAAATATTTCGAATTGTGGATCTAAGTATAATTTTTAAACAAACAAACAAACAAATGGAAGTGGCTTGACCTTGGTTTGACAAATTGTCCATATTGGCAGGAAGACCTAGAAGAATACACCTTGTCCAGAGTCCATAACATGCACGATAATTTCCAGAGTAGGATCGTTGGATTGGTATAGTCACAGACGTTCCACCGGCATCGTAATTCTTAGCATGATACTCCAACCCGTCAGAGAAGTGAAGTTGATCCTTTGACTAATTGCATACTAAACAGTTGTGGTATATTTCCTTCTGTCCTCATATCACCCCTTCACAATCACAATTCATTACTTATTTTATAAACCTATTTGAGACCTATTCATGCTCCCTGCTGGTTATCACATTTCCGTCACTGTTGGGAAGGCTGATCCAAGGCTTCAGTTTAGTCCGCAATCCTTTTACTTCAGACCCTCTTGCTCCGTAGGACCCGTCTCTTATCTGCCAGGTTCAGTGATTTCACGTGATTGTTGCCTCCAGGTCCGTTCTACTCGAGGTGCTACAATTAGCTAAAGTAAGAAATTGTTATATTGAAGGGGTGATACGGGAATATCTCAGGACAGAAGGAGAGATACATCTACTTAGCAGACAATCAGTCAAAGGATCCACTTCATTTGTCTCTGGCGGGTTAAAGTGTGGTGCTGAGAATGGAAAGGCTCACTGACGATGCCAACTACTATGCCAGCGGAGCGTCTGGGAGTGTATCACGTCCGACCCTGGAAATTTTCATGCAGGTTAGGAACTACGAATAAGGAGTGTTTCTCTAGCTCTTCTTGCCAATATGGCCAATTTGCGAAAAGAAGGTCAAACAACTTAATACCTTCCAACAAACAGATACTTTAACGTTATCTTATTAATTTATGCGAATATTGTAACAGGTTGATAAGGCAGTAAAAGAGGTTGTTCGTCGTTGATACGTAGGCGTCTGCTGGCTGTAGGATTGTTTTCTAGTGAAGTCTCTTCACCCCAAACAGCCCATAGGTCATCGCCGTACACTAAGTGGATAGTGAGCTGCTGGCGACCAGAGTCGAGACGAACATGAAGGCGACGGCCCCTAAAATGGAGACCTCGCAAATGTAGAATTGGTGAGCTAGCTGGCGTCACTCTGTCTGATGATACATTCGCTGAAACATTTGTCAGGGCATCATCCTGATACGATGGCACTTGCTCGCCTGACTGGCAGCACAAATTAGGTTCCATCCCTTCATGGTAGGTGGAGAACCAGGCAGGTGGAATTGATTTAGGGTTGAGACGCAGAAGGCTGGTTATACTGGTCCTATGTTGAGAACTTGTACGTGAAAAATGACTATATTCGTTTCCCTCTAATTGAATAGAAGGTGGAGTCGCAAGCATAAGGCGCAGTCCAGCATAGCCGTGAACCAATGATTGTAGAAATCCACCAGCTCCTGTGAGAAAATTTGCCGTCCCCTCACCATTCCGTTGTTCCGTCCATGTCTAATTATCAATATAAAAAGATTTAAGGAAGTGAAATAAGGGGATTTTTAGAACTTAGGAAATAACGTTCCGCCTCCTTTCAACTTTTCTTCGTATACATATTCCATCACTTGTTAATTTTGGTTCAGATAAGTGACATGATGAAGGCTATATGACAAATATAAAAATCAACGAATTAATGTATGCTAATAGTTATATGGATGAACACAGCAGATGAAAGGAATCACGCGAACTATTTGCGGAATTTTTTTTGTTCATAAATAGGGTTTCGAGACCACCAGTAAATCAGTTATATGAGATATATTCACCATAGTTCGTTTAGGGTGATAAAGGACTAGTAGTTAAATTTTCCCACAATTAATAGAACTGGCGTTTCCATTGAATTTTGCAGTTTCAACCTCGCCTAGGTCTTAGCAACACCTCTAATGAGAGTCGAACCATTGATACACATATTATCCTTTGGAATAATCACTTTTGGAGTATTTAGTAAGAATGTATGTGGATTAAACAAAGATGCTGTCTGCATGAAAAGTAGGCTGTAGATAGTAATCCTTCATAGAATAAATAAAAAAAGGTGTATTTAATTATAACAACCTATAATCTTAGTATCTTGAAAATAATTTAGAAATTTTTACTTTAAAATTAATACATCAAATGTTATATTTATACACTTTGTATATAAGACCCTTATTAGAAGTTTTCACTAGCTATGAAAGATTCATAGTATTTACAGCCCTGATACTTGTTGGTTTTTAAGGTAAATCGTTTCCAAAGCAGCTTTCTCTCGTGAATGGTAAAAATAATTTCGGTCATTCATCCAGCCGTAGTTACAGTTACTTGGGTCATAAAAAAATAAAACCTGTCATGAAAATAAGGGGACGTCCCCAGTGGGAGTACATCAGCAAAACGTATCACAGATCGAACATCGAGTTACAAAAGGAAAGTATTAAAAATCATATGCGAATCCAGAAATAATCTACCTATTCCTGTGGTAGTGGTGACGATTAGCCATTACAAGCAATCACAGATATAAAAAAATAATATGCTGTGGCTTTAGTCATTTTACTATTCATTTAAAGAGGTATTTTTCGAGATAAAGAAAACATACTCTCTATTTTTCGTTTATAAGTAGGCTTTCTAGACATCTCATACATACATACTCTGTATTTCCTCTGTCATCTTTGTCACGTATTCTTCTAGCAGTCAATGATCAGATGCTGAAAGAACATAGGACAGAAATGGGAGAAGACACATTATGAGTTACATTCTTTGAAACCTTCCTGAAAACAAGACTTAAAAGTGACAAGGTCAAAACAACACTTTAGAAGCAACTTTATTTTATGTATAGGGACATTTACTGGAATTGGCTCTCCTCACATATTTTGATGATCTCTACTTGTACACTTTTTCCCTCGTGCTAATATAGTTATCCGCTTTCACACAAAAAATTAAAAAAATTCTCAAACCATAAA